GTTTATGATTTTGTATTGTCTGAATGGGATTGAGAATGGAGGAGTTTGGAGATTATGGCAAGAAGCCAAAATGGGGTGTCTTGATGATTTTACATTTGGGGAGGAGGATTGAAGGTTATGGAGATTTGGGCATGGAAACAGCAGCACAGGTTGAATTTCTGATGAGAAAGGGAATGTGAAGGGATTTTTGTGTTTGGATTTGTTTGATCAGTGGACAGAAGCAAGGAAAGTTAGGGGGGAGAGAGAGAGAGGGAACAAAAATAAGAGGAAAAAAGAGAAGGTATAAAATTTGTGGAGGAAAATAATTTTTGTGTTGGAGGATGTTGGGGACAGAGGTTGACCTAAAAGAAAGGAACCCAAAATTAGAAGAGATTTTCTTTAGGCCTAAAGGCTGAAGGTGCTTTTCAGTTTCTCTATCTTCTTTTCGGTTGGCTAAGACAGTCTCCAACCGAGAACAGAGATCTTTTGCAGTAAATCTCTCCAATTGTATGCAAAAAGCACCTGCAAATTGCATTCTTGCGCCTTTTCTCTCCTCCCCGACGCAAATTTTGCGCTCGTAGTTTTATTAATTTCATTCATTTTAGTCCTTCAAATTTTATGTATAATCTAACACCCCCTACCCTTATATATATATTATTATATTTTGATAGAAAAAGAATATAATTTAAAATAGAATATTATTTTAGTTATTTTTTATTATATATTTATTAATATATTTGAAGAAAAAAAAATACAAACCACATTAATATTAAAAAGGCTACAAATTTAACACATAAAAAAGACATAATATTATCGAGCTATTCATAACATTGAAAGATAACATAGAACTACTGGAAAATAAAATATACCATAAAAGAAAAATACATTACACATTACGAAACTAAACAACATATGTTTAGTAATATGACAAATTGACACCACTTCCTCCCAAATTGTTTAAAAATTGCCTAAATGTGTCAGTTGGAAATAGATCAGATTGAACTTGTCGAGTTATTATCTCTGACATTCGCGCCTTTTTACCTTTAATATACGCTCGAATTCTAGGATCTATGAGACTGGCATCTTGAAACAAAATTTTGTTTTCTTCACTCATTCTTTAAAAGCGTGAGATTTGTTTTGCATCTCCATTTAGTGTTTCACTTGTTTGTTTGTCTTTTTAAACTCCTCAAAACGTTTATTGTTTGATTCTTGCACGATGTTTGATGACCAATGATGAATCACCATTTATCTTCATTTTCAGTTTGGCTTATTCACCCCCAATAGGTCTTTATGATGGAGAACCACCAGCAAATTGTTTCAACTTTCAAGTCGCCCTAGTTTAGAGAAAATGAAGAAATGCTCGAGGATACCTGTCGGGCAGACTCGAGAGTTGAATTTTCTGACTCCAAAGAGGGCTAATGACGAGACCGTTTTTTCTTGCTTCTCGTAGCGCCATCTTTAATTTTTTCAAAGATTTTAATAATATCCCAAACGTGATCATATTTCCATCCAGATTTGGATTTAGAATGGATGAGCAAAACCGCATAACCGAATTGATGCGTTCGGTGCGGTTCCGTTCGATTTTTAAAAAATTCGATTTGCAGTGCGGTTGAATTTTAGAAAACCGCAAATAAAATGATGCTGTTTGAATTTGAGAAACGGTTCGAACCGCACCGAAACTTTGACGTGTCAAATAAAGTTGCTGGTATATTACCTTAAACTCTTAAATTCTTACAGATTTTATATTTATAATTAATTAACTTTAAAGTTAAACATAAAAAAATAAATTAGTGAACTTTGATTTGTGTTTGGCTTAAACTTTCTTTAGTTTGTATGGTATGAACCTTGATTTGTGTTTTTGCATTTTTTAACTGTGGTTAACCGAAAAGCCGAACCGTACCAAACCGAAAATTTTGGTTTGGTTTTTTATTTTCTTACGATGCGATTCGGTGTACAAATTTTTAGATTTTTGATTTTCGGATTTTTGCTATGCCGTTCGGTCAAAAACTGAACCACACCAATGCTTACCCTTAGTCATGGTATGGTATGGTTTGCGGATTTTTGACAATCCGTCATGCAAAATTTGTGAATGATGGCGGAATTTTGGCAAACCACCATGTACCGCCATCCGCCATTAATAACATTGGTCTTTTACCTTAATATAAGATCTGCAAAAATTGATTCTACATTGGATTTGTGCGTATGGATGCAACATAAGTTAAGTGTGTGAGAATTTGAATTATTGCATTGCATACTTAGTTAGCTTGGAAAGAAAGGGAAAGAGTTTCCCATTGCCTTAATCCCAATGAAAATACTAATTCAGTGCCTGAGAGCATAACTAAAAACATCCAATTACCCAATGAAGATCTTCTAAAAAATACAGTGTTCTCAAGCTCATGGAATCACAAATTGAGGCCTCCTCCTGCAAAATCAGTTCATCTCGATGTGGGACGCAAGTAAGTGTCAACATGAATTACCCGTGGCAATCATGAGCAACAACAAGACAACTTTACCATATGTACACTCATTCTTATATCAACACATCCTTCTGCATAAACAAGAAACACACAAACACACAACAAAAACTACATAAGAAAAAAAAAAAAAAAATCAACATTACCCAAAACCAGCAGCCTGTTTAGGAAACTTCTTGGAGTGGGCCCTGTTCAAAGTTTCCGCATACTTGAGCAGCTTATTCTTCACATCTTCCTGCACCTGAGGCCCACCAGGCAACCAATACTCGTCCTCCTCCTCCTCCGTCAGTGAGCCCATAGTCCTAGACGAGCAATTGCTGCTCTCCCACGGGCCCACGGGCCCCTTACGCCCCCTCGACCCCAATCTCGGCATGTCGAACGAGCGCCTGCTCGTAACCGACGACGACTCACTCCCGCCCTCCAACTGCAAAAACTCGCTCTCCAGCTTCCCCGCAATATCGTCCACCGACGCCGCCCTCTCCAGCTTCGTCTTTTTACCGTTTTGCCCCTTCCCTCCTCTTCGCAGCAGCTTCTTGAGCTTCTCGAACACCTTCTGCTTGCTCAACCCCTCGGTTTTGTTGGTCTCGGGGGCTGACTCGTCCGTGAGGCACGAGGCTTGGGAGGACGACTCGAGGTCGGAGGTTGAGGAGTGGAGGGGTTTGTCCGGGTTGCGGAGCTGCTGACGTAGGCAAGCGTTGACCCAACGGAGGTGGACGAGCTCCTCCATGTCTGACCGGTGGTTGGCCTGAAGCTGCTTCATTTCCTCCTTGACGCTTTCGTTCTGCTTCCGCAGTCTCTTCCTCTCTTCACGCAGTTCCAGCACCTGAGACTCAATATATACCATACTATGTGTAAGTTCTCTCGCGTGATGGTTTAATTACGGAAAACTACTCTATATGGATTTCTGCCTGACTGACATTAGAATTATGTGTAAGTTCTCTCGTGTGATGGTTTAATTACGGAAAACTACTCTATATGGATTTCTGCCTGACTGACATTAGAAATTTGTGAATATTGCCGTTATGGAGGATTTCAGTCTGACGTTATTTTACGTCATCAGTCAATGGTAACAGTGACCCGACCAAATGTAAAAATTTTCTAGTACCGCCCTCATTTTATATTTTTTAAATCATGACATAGTTTACCATTGATCTCTAGGGTGGTTAAATAATATAACAAAGTAAATTGTGAACTACCAAAACACGTTCATCTTACATTCTGCGCAAACGGTTTGTTGAACCAGATTTTGGCGGCATCAATCAATATCAAACTATGCCACCAGATAGCACCAACTTTTGCTATGCATCACTAATATTTTAGCATATATGAGCGGATGCTAATGTCAAATGTACGATGAAAAAAGTCAACGTTATTTGTCAAATTGTAAGAAAATTGAGGGTGCCATTGCGAAAAAAAATTGTGTACATGATGAATTTGCGCCACAAGCGCGGTGATTGTAAATTTCAAAGTAAGCTCACTTTCTTTTGTAATTAGGCTAAATCTTGAGTTGTTTTCATTTAATCACATAAATGTAATTGAAATAACAAATAAAAGAATATAACACACACACACACAGAGTACCTCTTCATTGTCCAAAGCAGTCGTAGCAAGCATTTGCACATAACCCAACTTCTGAGCCAAGTCCGAGTTCTCAAGCCTTAAGCTTTGGTTCGACTTCTTCATCTCCTCAAGCTCCCTCCTAAGCTCCTCCCTCTCCCTCACCACAGCTTCCATCTCCTGATTGATCTCGTCCGTCTTCTTCTCCTTATCCTTGAGCCTCATCACCCTATCCTGAAGCACCACAATCTGCTCTTGATTCTGCTCGGCCGCTGACTTTAGTTTATTCCTCAATGCCTTCACCTTTCCCCGAGCCCCCTCAAGCTCAGTCACGACATTTTCATAGTCGACTAATCGGGCTTCAAGCTTCTTGTTACTCGATATCAGGGACTCGATCTTGAGGTTATAGTGCTTGGCCTCTATGTTGTTCTGCCTCAACTGGTTTTTGAGCTCGACTATGGCATTTTCGTGATCCTTGAGGCCGTTTTTCCCAAGGAGCTGGTTTTGGAGATTCTTTTCTTTCTCCTCGAGGGTTTTGACATGGGCCTGGAGATGTTTGATTTCATGCTCGTGATCGGAACATGATTTTGAGGATTCAAGTGCAGGGCTTGGGTCGCTGATGGAGTTGTTGGAAGCTATTTTCTTGAGGGGTGAATCCTAAAATGAGGTGTTTAGTGTGGTTATTGGATAGTCGAGAGAAAAATAAGCAACACAAAACAAGCGGTATTTCCGGGCTTTGAGAAATGACATCTATATATCATTGGTAAGAGTAACTGTTGGTTCATGAAAAAAAAAAAAAGAGTAACTGTTGGTTCAAACTTTCCAGATTTCCTAGATTAACTATGAATGGAACACCATTTTCAAATATTTGACCGCAAGCTGTAAAATAAAGGAACCAAAGCAAGCCAAATGCATGTATCTTCTATCTTATTAATTACAAAGAGTGGCAGAAATCGTGTATGCATGGATCAACTAAGCCCTCTTGGGGACTTTCTTAAAGAGTAACCTCATGGAAATACCATGGAATAAGGTTTGATCTTGATCCTATTCCATTCCAAAAATGGAAAGCACAATTGGGATTTTTTTTGGAAATTGAATGCAGTTACTAATTCATGATCTGGGATGGACAGAATGAGAACTTCATTCTTGATTTGTTGAATGTTAGTTGCACTGATCATGATCGGGTAGCTATGCCGTAAATGGTTAAAAAGATCAATCTAAAAAGGATCTTTTATTGAAGAACATAATTGTTTTTTTTTTTTTTGGCTTCAAAACTATATTCATAGAAGTCCTGAACTTTTTATATTTTTACTATTAACCACAACGAACTTACACAATCCCAAGAGATGATAATAATTACCAGAAAAACACGATCATCCCTGAACTCGCCGCTTTCGACTCTTGAATAAGTCTGGCTGTTGGTACCTGTGCACCAAAAAGAATGCATCCCAATTTAATTAATCAAACAGTTTTTTTTTTATTATTATTATTAAAAAAATGGGAAAATGAGGGGAAAAAAATAGATGAAACCTGGAGAAGGGTGTGAAGGTTTTGATTGAGGTGGCCTAATTATTCTGCTTCTGAAAAGTGTGAAAACAATGCCACCAATAGAAATAACAAAAGCCACCCCAAACTTCAAAAGGACAGGCCTAATTGGTATATCCTGTCTGTTTTTCATCCACATTTTAAAAAACCCAAAGTTCATGTTTCAGGCATTTCCACAAGCACATGCCATGCACCTTCTACATCAAATCAAACGTTAATATACCCATTATCTTCATCTTCATTTTCACCATCTTCATCTATTTCCATCTGTAACAAGGACCCTAGTTTTTATTCTTCAACTACCAAATTCAATAAACAAGAAAGCCAATTTCTTTCACAGAGAAAACGAGAAAAGATGAGGATAATTACAGATGAAACTAGAAAATTGATATTGCATTGAATGTGAGGATCAATTTGCGTTAAGAGCGATTTGCATTAATCCCGTATAATATTTCCCTTTTTCCCCCGTTTTTCATTCAACCATGAGCTGCAAGAGTTTGTCATGGGGCAACCTTAATACAACGTCGCCATGATTCTTCTGACTTCTGATTGGTCAATGACCGAAAAGAACGCCTTCTAATCATACATTTCTTTGTCTTGCTCTAAAAACATTGGTACCATTTCTTTTGTCATTTACAATCTAAGACACTCCATCAATACTAGTATTAATCCTGTGCACGTACACGTGTTATTAAAAATAAATAAATCTTAATTAAAATTAAATTTTATTTAATAGAATGTATCACATTTATGATTGAGTCATTATATTAAAGACTCTTGGTTGAATTTTTATACTTAAAAAAATAACGGTATAAATATAGATTTACATTAATGACGATTGTTATATAAATATAATCAATAATCTGATTTTTATACACTTTGAATATTGTATCAATAATAAACATAAAAGTATAAACAAAGTAATAAAAATATAAATTTAAAATGGACAACATAAATCTTATATACCGTAAAAATTAATTGATCTTTTTAGAGAATTATCGTACAAATTATATACATTGTATATTTATATAATAAAATATATGTATGTTTAGATTATTTATTTATTAATTTCCCCCTTTATTTTATTATAGAAATATGTGGTCTTTATTAAATATCACAATCACTTATTACACATTAATATGAATGTAATTTTTTTCCTTATTTGCATGTTTCAACTAGTATAAAGTATAAAGTATAAACATTGATGGATACATAGAGTTATTAAATAAAAATGAGTCGCTCGTGAGCTCCATTCGGCTCGTCAAGGCTCAAGCTGGAAACAGGTCGATTGATAAATGAGCTGATTTCGAACATTTATTGTTTAGCTAACGAGTCGATTCGAGCTCGAACTCGTTTATTATTTTCGAGCTCTACTCAACTTATATACACCTGAGTTTATAGAGAATAGAGATTAATTATCGTAAGTGGTGTAATTTTTAAAATTAATAATATGAGAGCATTTAAGTCGAGTATATTTATTTATTTATGAAATATAGTGAGTCTAGATGCCTATTTTGTGAGTCCAAATATGCAAATTCTTGAATAAAGCATTTTTCACAAAACAACAAATAGCGGGTCAATCTTTATTAATTTGATCAAGAACTAAATACTCAGGGTAATGTTGACAAAATTACATTCTTATATTATTAAATGGAATATTATTATTTATATTTTTTGATAATATTAAAAAGTGTTGTGTTACCTTTTCAACATGCCACAATATTCAAGATATCCCTCCGAATAAACATCAATCGGAATGACAATCAACTCATAATCATTACTGACGAGAAACATTATAAGACCCCAAAATTTCACATAATAATTTTTCAAAACTCCCTTCAAATCTGAGTCCACACGGTGCCACGTGTGCCCTGCAAATTCTAAAAGTTTGCCAACCTCAGAACTTGAAAGTAAGCATCAAAAGTCTCAACTGCTTGTTGGGGGCTCAAAGGAAACGAGGAAAATATAAAGGCAGGGCTTTTTCGTCCTTTCTTCAAAAGTCGCATTTACCTTTTTCTTGTTCTTTTTAAATATCCCCTCCTTTCCCGGTGGAAAAAGCAGCGTTTTTTCAGACGAAGATGCGATCTTCTCCCTTTTGTTTTTGCAATTGTTTTTATTAGCTCTTGTTTTTTCAGACATTTGTTTAGAATTAGTGAACTATTTTTGAAGCTTTCCAAACAGACACTAAAGAATACTAGCAGAAATTTTAAAATTTGGGGCAAATTTGGATATCAAAAATTTGAATTTGCTGTTCAAATGTGGCCTTAGCCTCTTACTGTACAAACAGAAGAATATTCCTACATCTGGTAATCGGAATAAAGGTTCATTTTCTGTAGTCCAAAACAAAAATGGATTGGAAATTGTGCCCTGTTTGGACGAAAAAGTTGCAACCCAAAAAAAACCAAAATAAGTTGGGTGAGTTCGTTTAGGAGGAACCCACCAGCATGTTCACACTTCACAATCAGGGACCACTTTAAAAAAATTGAGCGGGAAATACATTTTTCTTTTAGGCAAATATTATTTCAAAATAAAACAAGTAGAATCGAGTAGGAATATCATGCATTCAACTAATGTGTTGCATTAATTGCATTAGACAATGTAAGCACAAGGGCACAAATAAGGAACAAGTGCACAAACATAAAACTTGCTAAAAATTCAAACTAAACATTAATTGACAAGGAATTTACACAAATCAATCACTCACTCTCTTCTTGCTCTCAATTGTCAACATAATAACCATTTTTAGAACAAAGCCAACAAAATGAGTTTTTTTTTTTTTTTNTTTTTTAATGTTAATAGCTCAACCATTTTCGAAACACGATAAAACCTAAGATTCAAAACCCTCTTGAACTTGAGGACAAGTCCTCTGCATCCTAAAACCGGTAAAGCTAGCTCTCGAAGCCATTATCTCGTCCAAAGACAATCTCTTGTTCGGGCCCAAAACGGGCCTTTGCTTCGGTGCACTGTGGGACCTCAGCTTTGCCCTAAACGACTGCGTGTTTGCCATGTAGCCCGGGCAGTTCGAGTACGGCCCGAATAAACTCTCTCCACAAACGCTCTTGGCCATTGTGGCCGAGCACCCGAATCTAGGGGTATTTTGGGCAGTGGCGAATTTATAGTCCTCCGGGACAAATAATCCCCAGTCGAAATCCTGGCTGTGATTGCGACTAGGGATTGATATAATTGGGCAAGGGATTGGAGAGGACATTGCCTGGAAATACGGATCATCGTAATATTCGGACGTTAAAGTGCTCGTTTTTCGGGATCTCAACCGAGGCTTGTACGTGTCGATTTCGACTATTTTCGGGCTTGAGGAAGGGTCGTGAGAGGACGAGAGCCTTTTGCTGTGGAATTCGCTTCGGGTCTCGTCAAACCTATCCTGAAAAAAAAAATGAAAATGAAGAATGATTGTTATGGATTGGAAGGAAAAAACTAAATTTCACAAGAGAATTGGATGTGAATCGAACTTACGCTGGACTTTCGGGCTCTGATTTCGGGCTGGAATCTGTAGTCGTTGCTCATGGAACGACGGGCCCTTCGGGAGCGAATGGAGGCCTGGGCCCGGAAAAGGGCTTTCATGCTGTGTAGAGTTGCTGCTGCTCGTTTTCTTATGAGGTAGCCTCGAACAAGGGCCTGCAGTTTCACCAGCCCTTTCAGGGCCCGTAATGCTTTTCGGGCCTGAACATAGAAATTGAGTTCAGATTAATCAAGTCCAAGGAGGCAAAGTTCAAATTTCAAATTTGAAGACGCCCAAGGTAGGGAAGGCAATCATATAAAAGAATTGAATTAGAGAAAAATGAAATGAAAATGAAATAAGGAACTTGAATCTAAAGGACAAGTAATNTTATTAGTGTTGGATTTTTTGTGTTGCTTGAAACATAAATAACATGGTGTCCAAATCATTATCATCATATTTTGTCCAATTTTTGAAATTCAAACAGGGAAAATTCAAAATAGTTGAATGGACATTAGTTATTATTATTTGTTAAATATGCAGCTTAAGACAGTAAAAATGGCATCTCAACTTTTAAATTCAAGAACAGAATTCATACAAACGAGATAAAGCAAAGATTCAATTAAATTGAAATGTAAAAATAGATTCTCAGAGAAGATATAAACCTGCATATATTCAATTAAAAAAAAACAAATAAAATGAAGCCAAAGAAGAAAAATATTAAAATCCTACACTACTTACCAAAAAACCTCTGAACACAGTCTGAATTCTCACAGCCGCCACTCTCTCTCTGCTGTCGATGAAAAACCCACCTCTGCCCTGGCTGGTCAGCCGGACGACAGCCACCGCCGCCTGAGCAGCGGCGACGGCGGCGTCCGCGGCGGCGGCGGTGGCTGCAGCTACCGCAATAGCGTGCTTGCTCTGCTCCTCCTCTGAACCAGCAATCAGAGATCTCAGCCAAACTGAGTCTTTGGCCGGCGGAATACAATTCAACGGCACAGATTCCTTGCCGGATTTTGCAAAGCCCCACTTCTTTTTCTCTTTCATCACAGTAAAGTTCGAATTTTTATCCAATTTTTCTTTATCTTTCTTAAAACCAAGCAGACCCATGAGCCACCTCGTAGCTTTTCCCATTTTCTATTTATTAATTGGCCCTTCAAACTTCAAATTGAAATGAAAAAAAAAAAAAAATATTAATTTTAGAATGTGAGTTTAACGAGAGAGTAGAAAAGATTAGAGCTTTTCTTTTGAACTAAGAGCGTAACATGAAACAGTTTGTGGAATCTTATATATATGCTGGTAGGCGAACATGATAAATTAGGTATAATTACAAAACCCACCCACGAAGTTTGGTAAAATTACAGAAAGAGAAACTTTTGGGGTTTGCATTTAAATATTACTGAGCATTCTCAGGGTGTGCTTTGCAAAATGCAAAATAAGAGGAGAAAATGGGCTATTTGATATATATCGGTTTCTTAAAAATACAAATTGTATTCTGATAGTAACAGAAAACAGATTCATAAAAAAAGTAAAAAACAAAGTGCAGTGAAAGATTTTAGAAATGGGAGTAAAACCTTAAATTAATGAAAGGATAATGTCTGGGAGTTTTTTTCAAAATCTTTTTATTTCGATTATTATTATTATTATTGTTTTTTTTNAAAAAAAAAAATAGTACTGTGCATAATTTTAAATTTGGGAAAAATACTGATTTAGTGATTTACACGTACATTGATGTCCAGTAAAAAAAAATTTGAATTATTAAATTCAAAGAAAAAAACAAAGTTAAAACCTTTTGTTTTGTTACCACTTACCAATCAGAAACGTAAGTACCTCACAGAAAACAGAGAGAAGGAAAAGGAAAACAAAGCACAATCATTTTCCTTAAAAACACATATCCCAGAATT